GAGTTTGGGAATGAAGTATCAGTTTTTAACACGAAAGAAAGCAGTTTGACAGGGTAAATGACGAGTTCGGCTGATAAAAACTTTGACATGGTCTAGTTTGCTTTTGAGCTCAGATCTTACAGATAACCCGGCACCGAGAAGAGTGGTTTTCCCTACTGGAACACAGTCAATCTTGGGAAACACTTCTTGGCATTCGTGATAATGAGCCTGTATGTTGGGACCGGAAGCCGTAACTTCACATTTCTGGTTCAACAAGTAGACCTCTTCTGGTTCAACTGGACCCACTTCTTTAGCACGAGATTCAAGATCGATTAGGTTTTTTAGGGCTGTTTGCCATGTGTCGCGGAATGCCACGTCGTCCAGATGCCTAGATTTGAACTTGGTACGAATCCGTTGGAACATCTTGCGGATGACAAGACAGAACCCAAAAGTGGAAAGAGGGTCTTCCTGCTGAAAACATTCTTCTGGTTCAGCAAGAGACCCACTTCTTTAGCACGAGATTCAAGATCGATTAGGTTTTTTAGGGCTGTTTGACATGTGTCGCGGAATGCCTCGTCGTCCAGATTTGAACTTGCTACGAATCCGTTGGAGCATCTTGCGGATGACAAGGCAGAACGCAAAAGTGGAAAGAGGGTCTTCCTGCTGAAAACATTCCGCAGACACAAGAAGATGATCACCGTAAAAGAGAAAGCTATCTTTTTACAGACGACCTTAACAAAATTGAGAATTGCCGAGGCCTGTTCATGAATTACTTCAAATATGGAATCTCTTCGTACCGTAATGAAAGCGTTGGAGAAGTCAATCTTGACGAAAGCGTGATCAACCTCAGAGGTTGGCAGATCAACCTCAGAACTGAGGTTGTAACTACGAGCAGCGTGAGCAGCAGCCTCGCATCCATTCCTGGCGCCAGCTCCTCTGTATGGGTTTGAAATGGTCTATAAATTTGTGAATTATTTCGATGCAAGACGCAATTGGCAGTGAATCTGAGTGTATCTCCGATGGTTATGAGCCAAGCTCCACCTTCTCTCTTTGATAGTGAAATGAGGGTGGCACTAGCTAATATTGGATGGATGAAATCAGGTACCTTACCGGAAAGCAGTAGGCTCACCAGTTCAAAATGTCGCAATCAAATTATTACCTGCTTCGTTCGCGAGGAGAGAGAGGTGGCATCCTTCAAGTTTTGAGGACGTGAACCACAGGGTCCGCATGCAGTGCCTGGAGCGAACGCGAGGACCGCTTTCCTGACTTCTTGTTCAGACAATTCAATCTGCCGTGTGTCCGTGGAAGGAGTGGGGCGAAGGTTGATGCTTTTGGTAGGATGTTTACTTACTAGTAGGGCCTTGTTCTCAATCGTTGGCGGAACAACAGTGTCTTCGCTGGGTGCTAACCTCACAGCGCGCGCCTTTGATGTCACCTTCATCCAATTTGTTGGCCATGAGTCTCGTGACGTCGGCGTTGCGGTTCATCTTTTTAACGGGAGGAGTAGAAGGTTTGAAGTATTTGCCTAGATTCTCAAGGGACCTGGTTATTTTCAGGGGACCCTTCTATCATAGTAATACAGTTTAAATGTCTTGGCATTTTTTTTTCAGGAAAAAGTCGAAAAATTTGTTCACGCTCAATTTTGATCTTTCGCGTTTTGACATGTGATTCCTTTTTATGTTCAGCGCATTTCCATTGTTAAAAGGAAAACAAACTCCACTATCGAACAGCAAAATTCTAAAGGTCACGAATAACGTGATCGACTTCTAATTTCGAAAATGGAATTTAGTAATCAGTTTTCTCAGTGGAATAAAAGTTTTTACCTATTGATCCAGTTTTCTCAAATTGGGTTAGTTTTATCAAAAGAGTGTCAATCAAAAATTTAGTTCTACAATTGTTTGGTATACTTGGTTTTGTAGGTTTCGGCCTAGATGCCTCATATTGCATCGTCTGGAGGGCCCAAATAACTCTTCATGATAATAGATTTGATCAAATACAAGATTCGTTTTTTTAATCGCTAAACTTACCTCTATCAAAATATACTTAGTTATCGTTCGTTATTTTTTTCCTTGCTAATCCTCACTTACTGTAAATAAAATTTAAAGTTTCGAGAAAATCACAACAGTCATATCTCGAAAAAAGTAAAATACTGTTGACGTTCATTTTTTTCACATTAATTGCTATCCAGGTTTTTCCAAAAAAAAAAATGTAGCATTAACCAGAGGCTCCAAGAGACAATTGTCAATGGCCAAAACGTTTTCGACTTACCAATTCATCATCAGTGTCTAATAACATATCAAACGTAAAATAGGCGCACAATCCTGAAAATGTTCTTAAGTCAACATAAATTAACATACTAAGCACCGTAAAAAAGGTAGAAGTAAAAGGGATTTCATGTCATAAAACGATGGACAATGAAACAGTGGTAGATTGAAACATGAAACATTGCGTTGAGCCAATGCAACATTTCGTTCCACACCAGGAGATACGTGCGTGGCCTCATGAAAGACCGACATTAAAAGAAACTCGAGCGCATGTCAAACAATGAGCTGAAACCGCTCCACAAGGTGAAGAACACCTCAAAGGTTCCTGGTATGGTGTTCGATTTTTTTCACTGGGGCCTAATATCGGGGGCGCGACAAATTTAACTACTTGCATTTCCTTGCTGACGTTGATCGCCTCTGTACAACCTGAAGACAAACGGCATTGAGATTAATAAATTGAATAAAGTCAACGCTCTTGCTGTGTGTTTTCTGAACGGAGATATAGAAACCGACAGACAACCCCAATCTCACAAGAAAGTGAAGACATATCTCAGAAAGGAAGACATCAAGGCAGTGTGTTTGACACGGGACGGGCTTTTGTTTGATGTCGGACGCTGACTACTTCTGCAAATTGAACGGCATCCTCAATTGCCACCAGTTGAGACCCTCTCAACATTGGGTAACGAGACGACATAAAAGATCGAAGACAAGTTTAACCGAACTGGTCAGGTTATATGGTTTGGCGAAGGTACACAAACAGAACACTGCCCGGCAGCTGCTACAAGATCAACAAGGGGCTTGCCCAATTGTTCAAGTATAACCAAGGAGCCAACATTGAGACGTCTACCACAGACATGAGAAACAGGATCACACTGACCGATTGGCAGAAAATGAAGAGATTTTCCCCCTGGATGTGAATAGTCAGTCTCTACACGAATGTCCTGGTAGGCGAAGCTATCGGACTGGCTTTTGACATACTTTACTGCGCGGACTCTCCTCCGTACATTGATTGGAATGGTCACGTGCAAACGGCTCATGCATCTGGCAGTAACCGACGTGTGCTTCATCTGTGGTGATAAGTGGTATATCTAGAGAGATGGTGTGGCGATGGGAGCCGCCATGGTGGTCATTCTGGCGAATGTCTGGATAAAGCAATTTGAAGACATGCCTCAGATGATCAGCAGTATGTCACAACTGAGTAGCAGCCCAAAGGCGACAGGCAAGACCATATCTTCGACAGTGTGGTAAGTGTCATATCTGGCTCCAGCGTAAATGCAGTAAGATTCACTTAAAGTCGTTTTAGAACATGACTGGCAAGGAGTATGTTTGCTCCGACAAGATTCGAGTGGCTGTTATCTGCTGTCGCGGTCAAGGCGAAATTTTTCGGCCGCTATGTGGAGGACATTATAAAGGTCAGCACGGAGGGACTCCAGTGGCAACATTCTGGGACGGGTCAACACATTACACCCTAATCTGGAGTTGACCTTTGAGAGATTGAAGGACAATGGCATCCCGTTCCTGGACATGTTCAACAGTTGCATTGGCACAGATGTCAGAAACTTTTGGTGGCACTGACACTGGTGTGATTCTTTCATTTAGAGCTCATCTTCATTAACTCATATATCTGTTAGCGGTTGTTTTCCAAGAAAATTTTCTGAGGTTACACCACGCTTTCTGATACAAAAACGGATAATATTTTGGCGTTACTGCCATATTGAGCTAATATCTGGTGCCGAGGTGTATAATATCGTAGCTTTGAAATAAGACCTACTGTTTTGCTAATTGCATTTTAACATAGTCTATGTGAGAAACAAATGATGATGATGAAAATTGAGCATTTGGACTATCGTTTGTCCTATGTTTTGTCGGCTTAGCGACCGCTCGGTAAATATAATCAAAGCCTGTGGCTTGTTTGTGTTTCTTGACTGTTTTTCTGAAAGTGATAAATTTTACAAAAAAAATCTGATTTTGTTATTTCCGTTTCAATTCTTTGCGCTAGTTTGTAATTCTACGCCTTCGTTTTATCGCAAGTGATGCGGAGCTCGGGTTCGATTCTGTGCTAAATTGGACGTTTTGGTGTATCATATGCATTTTCCAAGTTTAACGTAAATATACTTGTATATTATAACTCATTTGAGCAGCAATTTCATGGTGTAAGAAGTGATTTACAAGTTTGTATGAAGACCAAATACGTTTGTCATGGGTTAATTATTAGACGCGTAATCATAAACAAATCAGGCTCTTTTCCACTTTCTTGCATATTTGATTTTCACTTTTCAAAACAATTTTTAACGTAGTCATAATGTAATTATAATTACCCTTGCAATTAGCGAGGAAAGGGAAAAAGTCAACTCTTGAAAAACTTTGTTTTGGAAAAATATGGAGTATAGCACAGTTTTCACATTGGCTTTTTTTGTATTTTTAAATCCCAATTCAGACTAGACTGTCTGGTATTTTTATATATTTTTATATGTTTTTATGGGTATATTTTTGTATCGCGAGTAGTGTGATGCTCCGCATCGCCTCCGTATTTCATCGTCGAATCTTAGCTCTTTTTCCTCCCCCCCCCCAACCTGCAAAATTTTACAGACGAAAAATTTTTGTTCACATTATTCTATTGTTATGAAAATTGGCATACGGACTAATAAGGCCATGGCAAACATATTTGGTCTTCATAATTAACCTTGTAAAACCACTCGTTACAACATAAAATTGATGCTCAAGTGAGGTGGGGGAGGGGGGGGGGGGGAGAAAAAAAGCCCGAATCTTTTATGAGGTTGTCTGTTTTTAAATTACGGGGGCACATGGAAGTTGGATATCTTGAGCTAAGGGAGCTTTCCTATGACAGCTCAATTGTTGACATAGAAAAAGCACGTGCCATTTTATTATAAAATATGTTGATGAAAAATAATGTCTAATGGAAGATTGGGCAGCATCAGGTGCATTTCAAAGTAACGGCGGAATAAGCAGGGCTAGTTATTTCAATCGCTATGGTGCTCTGAGTCAGAGCAAACCAGATGCGGCTAATCAACCACCAATCCCATCTGCTGCAGCTGGAGATTACATCCAAAGAAATGCGCAGTTGCCGAATTATGTTCCATTTGGGAGACAATATGGGGCAAATCCATTCGGTAAGCCTAAAAATCAAGACTCAAAAAGATATTTTGTCGTGCCTCTATAGAAGAACTTGCAAAAAGAAATTTGGTCTTTTTTCCACTTACCACATTTCAAGTTTTCGATTTTTATGGTTGTTTTATGTGTTATTATTGCTAAATGTGTGATATTATGATTTAAAATATAAATAACAAATCTGTTCGCAATTTTAAATTTGATTGCATGTTGATTAAACGATTTTCGAAACTGATTTTCAAAGGTCTGGAGGGGGGATGGAAAAGAGCCGAAATTCGGCCTCTTCTAGTTTCCCAGGTTTTAGTGCTTCGTTCAGGCTGTACTTCACTCGTCGTAAGAAAGAATTTAAACTTTGTTCACGCTTTTATTGCAGTTTAGAACTTCAAAAGATATTATACCATTATCTGTGTACTTTTACATGCTATTATGGCTACATGCATGATTTTTGCTGTAAAGTATGAAGAACAAATTGTTCACCATGCAAATGTTCATTACATTATAACAACATTAGGCTCTTTTCCAGTTCCCCCCCCTTTCAAAATACCGAGTTTTATGTTTGTTTTACGTGTTATCACGGCTAAATGCATGATGTTACGCTGTAAAGTATGAAAAACAAATCTGTTCACAGTTGTCGATTTGTTCACCACGCCAAATTTCATTGCATTATAACAACGTTAAATAAGCTTTTCAAAATTGAATTTGAAAGGGGGAGGGAAACTGGAAAAGAGCCGATTTTGCTGGTTCGTTTGCTTTTTGTCTGTTATTTGTAAATTCACTAATTCTAGGACCCACTTAAATATGAGTAGACGTCTTACGCTTACTTTAAAAAATACAATAATGAAAAGGTAAGTTATGAAGACCTATTATGTATGAAAAAGCGTAAATAGTCGGCATATTCTTTTAGATCTTATTTAAACAAAATTTATTTAGTACGTTATTACTGATGTTCGAGCAGGCAAAAAATGGCGGTGTAGGTGGAGAGGAAAATGAACCAAGATTTTTTGTTCCTTGAATTTGCCAAAAAAAATTTCAAAATTTTTTTTAAACTAAAATTTATCTTGATCTTAGTGAGAAATCTCATTTTTTCAACTTCACAATTTTATCCGAATATTTGCAAAAAAAATTATTGGCATAATGCTTGAAGATTTGCTCCTTATTTAACTCTAAGCTATTTTTTCTTTGATTTTTTTCAATAAAGTTCTGCTGCATGTATGTTTTCCGATGCAGTGTTCTTAGCCACCGCTTCAATAAAATGCAAGTTTTTCCTAAAGTTGTGATTCGCCTATGCTCCTTTTTGCCTCGTATTTCATAGCCAAAAAAGCTGCACCTCTTTTTTGAAATGTATGTTTTTTACAAGGATTTTACACGATGATAGTTATGTTGGTTTCGTAATTGACGCGGAGATCAGAATTGCCTCAAAACTGCCTTCAGAAAATTGGCTCTTTTTTTCCAGCTTCACACTACCTCCTGAAACTAATATGAAGATGTCTAAAACGGTTCTTACGGTAATTTACACAAACAAAATGTTAGACATTTTTGTTCTATGGTTAACGCTGACATATTTTTATTTCCCGTTAGAAAACAAATTTTCATTTTAAATACTCTTTCATTAATAGAAATTCAGAAAAAGTTAAGGGGAATTGGAAAAATGCCAGAAAAGGCTATTTAAAGATATACAAACGGCGCGGCCGAGGACTGGAAATTTCGATTTCTTTTCAAGTTCAAATCAGTTTCGTTTGTCAAAAGGAAGGTTTATTTCGCTCACAAATAAGATAGCGGGTTTTGCGCAAAGAAAATGAACGACATGTAGTTTCGAAAATGAAATTTAGTTATTTGATTTCCCAGAGCAAAAAAAATACGTTAAGATCCAGTTGTCTCATAATTGAGTTATTTTTATTAAAATAGCTCAACTCGTGTGAAATGTTTAGTAACTTTTGTTTTCTTTATTGATTGGCACATTTTCAACTGTCTGTTGATTATGTTTATTAAATATCTAGCTCTGTTTTAGAGGCGTTCTTTTGTGTTTCCCCAGCTTCATTGTTTACGCCTTCAATAGGGTCTGAATTGTCAAAATCTTTATCGAAAAGAAAAAACTATAACAAATTATCTGGTTCAGGCATGAAGTTTTCGTGAAATTTCATGTCGAAATTAGCGCTGACCGGATAAATTTAGCAAAGTTGTCTGCAATGTAAAATAAATCTTAGAATCAAAATAATAAACTTCGAAATATGTAGAAATGAGTTGGTTGAGGAAGCGAGTCAAAACAAGCTGATTTGTTCAGTCAAGGAGAACCTTGTCAATTTATTTTAATAGATTTTTTTTTTCAATTGAGTTGCTTTTTTGAATCGAAGTATCAGAAATTAATATCACTCAATGAAGAAAATTGAGTTCTTAAATTAGAATGAATTAGACAAAATGCGCAGAAAACGTTCCATCGCACTAATTAAATACTAAACAGAATATTTTGAAATCTCGATGAGTTTGAATACGAATAATATTAGCTGTGCATCAAAGTATCAACCAATTTTATCCCGTTTTGTTCAAAAAGCAGCCCTAGTAATTTTTTTTGTTTTGATTTTTTGTTTCCTTAAATAATCAGATGGGGTATTCCTATTTGCACAGAACCGGCCATTCTTGTTTTTTTTTAAGACAGTACCATCAATAATTTGAAAAATTGGAATTTAAACCCACATTTTAGACCCAACTAGGAATTATACTGGTTACATGAACAATGTGCGACCTCTCAAGGGATCAGTTTTAAGCAGCGTTACAAATGATGACAGACCTCAGTCACAGCTGGGACCGCAACCTCAACATGCTCTGCAGCAAATGTTCGTTGACCAAAGATATCCCCCTGCAGACTCTAAGTTTCAGTTCGCGCACAAAAATGTGCCCTTGCCTCCAGTTAATTCTGCTAACATTGCTTATGGGGATGTAAGAAACGCGGCACCTCAGATGCCATCTAACAATATGTTTGTCGCACCCGCAACAAACATGCAATATGAGCCGACCCCTGCGTTCCACGCTAAGCCGTTTGTGTTCAACCACATGCCAGAACGACCAGTGGAAGCAGAAGTTTTGCGCCGAACACCAAAGAACCCCTTTTTGCGACAGGAGCCAAAGTTTTTGAGGAACAAAATGGAAGATCCTGCTACATACGTTAAACAGCAAGAGTTCGAAAGGTTACTTCAACAGGTAGAAAATATATTACTTTCTTGATCGAAGTATTTGCTAATACTTACTCAAAATTTTGGGCTAAGTTCTTAGCCCATAACTTGAAAATAGGTGTCATGAAATTATACGGGATTTGGTTTTTTTATTATTATTTTTGGGACCTTAGGAAATTTTTAAAACTTTTCTCAAAAATTAAAGTTTTCCCCAAAAATTACTTTTCTGATATCCAAAAAGGTGGTAAGTAGAAAACACCCACTCACTGGGTGATTGCATATACACCTAGTCTCTTTTTACCGTACCCCACTTTCTACAGCTTCCGAAAAAGTCTGTGAGGGGAATTCTTAGCCCATTTTTTTGAAATTTTTTCGAAAACTACCCTGCCAAATCTAAGGAGTTCAATCGAGAGAACGTATTGTGGGACTGTATTAAAGGCTACGCTTAAATTTCTTTAACAAAAAAAATATTGTCCTTGGAAAAGTCATACAGCGTGGGTATTGCAACCAAATAATACACTTTTTTCCAGCACTAACCTTGTTCACCTGTTTTTCAAATCTTGTACGGCCCGCAGTATTAATAAAAATTGCCATTTGGTCGTGAATCAAATCCCGTGTAATCTGATCAATTTTCTTTTTTAAATCTTTGTAGAAGTCTCTGAAATTCTTTTTCTAAATGTTTGGATGTTCAGCATTGTGAAACACTAATACTTTTTTGCAATTATTCATTACAATACGGTTCTGTGGCCATCAAGGGACGCTGCCAAAAATTACTATAATGGTATGCACATTTCCTTGTTTGCTCTTTAAAAATGTTTCCCTTTTAAACTGTGTTTCTGTTCAGGCGGTGTCGATGTACCACCAGCTACAACACCACTACAACACGGGTCAGCCTCCTCCCTGTGGAGTACATGCGACCCACAACAACGGAATAGAGCAGCAGCAGCTACCAGCAATGCCTCACCACCCCCAATCGCACCATCCTCATGAAGGGTACCACCAGAATCACTACCCTTCCTGTCCCAACTTCCCAAAATTTGAACAGGTGCGCCGCAAATCAGAGTTTTCTTTTTTCCAACTTATGAGTTTTTAAGTATAAAAGTTATGTTGGCACAATTCTTTTGGTCACCACTCTTAATCTCTTGAAATTGCTGTATTGATCGAAAAGTTATCTTATCGTGCAGTTAGGGTTGGGCTGCGAACGGTTTCACTAAAAACAGCGAACGAGCAAAAACTCAATTCCTAAATGCTAAAAATAGTTCATCCAGTTCTTTCAACGTCTTCCTGAACCAAATCGAAAGTTTTTGTGCAGATGTGGAATCAACAAGTGCAGAACCACCAATATCAGCAGCACATCGTCAACCAAAAAGGTCAGCATGGAAATGTATCTCTGAGACCTAAATCTAGAAACAACCCTAGTGTGAGCATGTATCAGTCTAATGTCTACGATGAACGTAGAAGTCAATCTCAGTGCGCTAGTACTAAGTTCGAGGACTCACTAGACACCAGTGAGAACTTCTACGACGAGATAACCGATGAGTGTAACAATAGCGCTTCATCTGATCGCTCGATCAGTCACAGCGCGGACTCGCTGATGACAACCACGGATGAATATGTGGGCTATGGGGAGCGTAAAAAGGAAGGCGCTTATAAGGCCTCAGACTATAGTGACCTTTACAGCCCTTCACACGACAAAATAGGTCATCCGGATTTAATATTTCAAAAATAATTGTCTAAATAGTACAGCTGTGCAAGTAGCACAGAAAATAGCTATCACATTTTTACCTTTGCGATAAGCAAGGATTTTGCAATCGGGTTCTAGACTTTTTTTGCCCGTTACTAACTTTGTTTACAGAATGGTCGAAATAAGAATTGGTGAATTTAGGTCCAGTTCATAATAAATTCAAATTTTTTTTTGCCTCTCCGGCGCATTTGGTCTGAGGATAACGAATACGCCTGGGACGGCAAAGGTGCTTGGGTCAAATCTAACAGTACCTGTTTTTTTTTAAACGGTAAATATTCCGTCATGAAAAATTGTCGGCCTATTATTTGTCTGCTTATGTTTCGTCGGATTAGTTGCCATAGCTTAGAATTTTTTTGCTGTTGTACGTAAGTTACATTGTAGTTGCTTTTAGTGTTTTGATTTTTTGCTGCTGTTTGTAATCTTACTAGCCTTATTTTTGTATATTTTATTATTATTTTTTATCTCTTCAAAACTTGATTCTGCCTGAATGATTTCGGCCCATATTTTATGGGCTTAGTGTCCTATTTTTGAGTTGTTCCTCTAGATCGCACAAAATGCTTTAAAATTTTAATAGAAATCATAGATTTTCATGATAACATTTTTTTCGGCTTTTGATTTTTTTTTCTATTCTTTTCCCTCCTTGATAAGTTTCGGCTTATATTACATCAGATTAATGGCCTCTGTTTGCGTCTTTCGATGAGAGAAAAAAAGTTTGTACGTGTGTGTGTGTGTGTTTTGAGGGTGAGTAGGACTTAATAACTTTTCGAATTTGTTTTGGCTTTTTTGCCATTTTATCTTAATAAGTTTTGGCCGAAAATATATAGGCTTAGACACCTCAATTTGTTTCTGGTGACGAGCAAATAAATTTTAGTATGTGTGTGTGTGTTTTGAGGGCAAGCAGGGCTTTTTATAAGTCTTAAGTCTGTTTTTTTCGGCTTAAAGGATTTCTGCTAAGGTGTTTTCGGCTTTGTTACAGCTTGGTAAATTGTTTTCCGATGCTTATTCTACCTTCTATTGTCTCGGTGTTTTTTAAACTAGCCTCATTCATTTCGATAGAACTCGTTTTTTCGACGTTTTCGATTTTTTTCCGACTTAGCAGCTTTCTTGTTTTGTATCGCAAGTGATGCGAAGCACAGCTTCGCCTCTGTCTAATAAACATGTTTTTTTTCATTAAAAATTCCGTGGAAATTCTCGCGGTAAGGTATTGTAATGGGGAGAGAAAGAAAAGTTTAATTTTTTTCAGCAAGTGAAATAGTTAAGTGAATCTAAAAAGATTTACTTGCTTGCTTTTTACTTGCTCAAATTGTCCTCATTTGTGACATTTATTTGAAGGACATTCCTGAAAGCAGAAAAAACTTTTTGCAGTTTTTGATGCAGTCGGAATAACGACTGAAAATCCGCGCCTTGTAATTTTTTCTACCGAATTTTGATGGAAAGAATCTTGCAACTGAATAGAACGCGTTGTTTAAATCAAGCAAAGTTATCCGAGATATCGTTCATTTTTTAAAATGTAAGATAAGCTTGTGATCTATTTATTACTTTTTAAGTGTCAATGAATGATTTGGAGAGAAGTGTTTTAAAATGAAACAAAGTTATCGGAGATTTGGTTTGTTTTTTAAAACGTAAGATGAGCTTGTGATCTATCTATTACTTCTGAATTGAAGACACCTTTTAGGTCGTGTGGTTTTTTTTCACGAAAAAGACGAAGTATTGATCACACTTCAAGTTTGATTTAGTTTTTGATTTTTGTAAAGTTCAATTCAAATTCATTTGATGAAACGAATCAAATTTTGCTCTACAATAACCTAAGTGTAAATGACGTTTAACAATGTGATGAGAGTATAGACCTAAACTTAAATTTTTAAATTTCCTACTGGATAAAAAATTCGTTTGGTCCAGATTCTCCAGTTGGATCTATTTTTCGAAAACATATATCAATCATAGAAATCTCTTGAAATTCCAATTTTCAGATAAAATTCTTTTTCAGTTGAAAGCTGAGAATGCTTCGAAAAAACCAATTGGTCTTTTTTTGGTCTTGAGTTTATTGACACTGTTTATAGAGTTCTTTTCAATCAATATTTTTGTAACTAATTAAGACAGGCAAGATCCTTCTTGCTTACATTCGATTCATACCGAGAATGATACGTAAGCATATTTTAAACGTTCGTTTTCTTGAAACGGAAACGTTACAAAAAAACGGTTTTTTTTAATGCCAACTTTGAAGTTGACGGCGCCTTCGAAGTAATTGAGGTCATATTCTTATAATAACCAGATCAAAATTGAGCAGAATGGGCAGAAAATAATAAAAAAAAGGATATCAGGATAAAAACAGATCTTATAGGTGGCGAGGAGGGAAGTTAACATTGGAGAGTAAAATTGCGCAAAGTGAAAGGTGACTACCATTTTTTTGCAATTATTTTTTCAAGCTGAAAAAATTTAATTCAAATGGACCCATGATAATTATCAAAGCGAAAGTAACGCATGCTGTTAGTCCAATCATGATAAAAATATAGATCAATTATTCTACAATGAGACTATCAGTTATTTGAACTGAGCTGCGATAGTTTGAATCATCACAGTTTGCCCTGAAATCCGACATCAATCAGTAGTTTGTCTTGAGGCTAAGTAAACTAAGTCGCTTGACTTTAAATCTCCTTTGAAGAGTTTTAAGCTGTAAACTCTGCTATCATTCATGCTCATCTTAGACGAAAATAGTCAGATAAACTTGGAGTACAAGTTTCAAACAACTTGTCAATTGTTACATGAAGGGCTGTAAAAGCACGGTCTATGCAGTTTATGTATATGGCTAATTCAAAAATTATAATGATCATAAAAGATATTTAATTATCTGTATTAAATCCGGATTGTTATAGCGGCGAGGAAGAGTATGTACGAAGAAGTGGATGAGGAAAAAGAACAGTCCCCTAATCGGTTTTCACGTGCCAAAAACACGCTGACTCGGCCAACAAAAGCGACGCATGCAAAAGAAAAAGAAAGCGTCAACAAAAGTGAAAATAATAGCAAAATTGTCGAACCGAAAAGGCGCAAATCCACGCACCCGCAAAAGGTACATGAAACACAGGTTGACCAGAGTGAGCACAATGCATCCTTGAAGTCAGCAATGAAACATCCGAAAAACTTGAAGCCACCCAATAAGAAGTTTATGGAACTGCCTCAAGAGAGGAGTACAAGTCTAGGAAGGTACAACAGGTACTTCAGTGATCCAACATTTGACCCTGCAGAGAGATTCAAGAGGGCTCAGCAGAGGATTGAGAATTTACAAAAACAAGTGAACAGTTTGGAGAGACCTCACAGTGTGTCTAAAATGAGCGGCAATAAGAAAAATAACGGCAAGGCTGCTAAGAAATCGCCGAAGTCTTCGATGGGCAAAGGAGACGAGGCTGGTTGGTATCGACGTGCATTCACAGCGTTGCTGAAGACGTTTTTATTGTTCGAAGGTTTAAATATCCAAAATTAAACGTCATCTAGAAATGTGAACGCATAGAAAAAATGGTGCCTTATTTTTTTTGGCGATCGCTCGTTAACATATTTTTTAAAAAAGTTTGTAAATGCACCTTGATAAAAAATTGGCAGGCAGTGCTAATGCCTCGACTGAAGAGGAGCCACCGGTGAAGAGTATTTTCTCACTCATGTACGACACAGACGGGAAGCCCCTGAACCAGGAGGCGAAGCAGATACAGCGGCTCATAGAGGACGAGTACGAGGAGTTCAAACAGAGGGTGCCGGTGCCAGTCGCTATTCCCTCAAAATCTCCCAAGTCTCCCAAAGTGAATCAAGAGAGGAAGTAGGCGTAAAATAGATAGTTACCCCTTTTTAGTTCCCTTCAATACGCCAACGCAACAAAGGCAATTTCTTATAATAGAATACCGAAACTCGTTGTTTTGCTGTTTCAATTGGTTATGCTGATTGCTGAGCTCAGGTCGAGGCTGTGACGTGTAATTGTTCCGACCATTGAATTTCGGGCGAAGTGCAAAAAAATGTCCTAGTGTCGATAAAAACCGGTTTGAAGTTCAAGAGTTTGTCTAAGAGTAAAACGAGCGAGTAGGTCGTGACGTTTTAAATTGAGTTGTGAAAGTAATTTGTAAAAGTGCATCAAAACTCGGTTTGTTCTAGCGCTATCTGTGTTAATATTGGTCGTGTATGCGAAGTGCATCTTTGTCTGTTTTTTATTTCGAAACAGCTCACGATATTTCGAATTTATGAACATGACTGTTCAAAGCAGCTTCACTCGATTTTTTTGGTTCCTCCAAGCAAATTATACCAGTGGTTTTTCAGTGGTTGCTTAAGCCTTGATTAGTAAGTGTTATCAAACCGGGCAAAAGAATTTTTTTTTTTCGGGTTAACTAGTTAAACAGAATCACTTGACTCATTTTATCATTGGTTTCATATTAAATCAAAAGTCAGACGTTATTTCGCGCATATGGCGAAGAGCTAACGCAGCTGCCCATAAAGAGAAAGTTCAATGATTTGAAGCCAGCCAGGACCTGATTTTTCTGAGCGGAGAATTGTCCGCCCGTCTAAAAATCTTTGTCGGACTTCTGTTTGTCCTGTTTTTCTTGTCGGCTTTGTTGCATCAGCACCAAATCTACCTACAATTTGAGAAATTTTTTGTTCAATTTAGAAAAATTTCAGCCTATTCTAGTTTTGGGCAACTAATTGAGTTCAAAGAAGTTTTGTCTATATTTTTTTGCTATTTAATTTTTTATGCTGTTTATTGAAAATTTTTGGGAATTATTTTCATTATGAATTCAAGGAGTGTTCTGTGTATTTGGTTCAGTGTTAACACTCATGCTTCAGACGACAAATCACAGGAGTTCGATTTCAGTGGGAACTGTTTTTTTGTGGAAAATTTTTGAATGTTTTAGCCAGCTCATTTTTGTCAGCTTAGGTCTCGAAGAAAGGTTCAGTTTGTGTTTAGCAGTTTGAAAGCTCTTTGTAAAGTTTCTAATGGTGCAGGTAATTTTGTTCCAAAATTTTTTTTGTCCTTTCTAAAAAAAAATTGTCTTTTTATTTGCTGGTAATCATAGTCATTCATTTTTGTATCGCAAGTGGCGCTAGCTCGGGTTCGCATCTGTGTCAATAGATCTTATATAAATTCTGAGCTAAAAAGAGATCTTTTTTAAATAGTAAAGCATCACTATATCATTGTTCCAATTATTCAAAATCGTTACATTCCTGATTTTTTTAGAGTCAGGAACGTAGTGAATACTCTTATAGGTCTTGCTGATTTTTTTTTTCAGAAAAAAATTGTTCTCGCTCAAGTTTTTTATTTCGCAATTTGACCTTTGATTTCTTTTTAAATTCTTTTGTTAAAAGAAAAGCAAACTCCACTATCAATTAGCAAAAGTGTAAAGGTCACGAAAAGCGTGATCGACTTTTAATTTTGTAAATGGAATTTAATTTTGTAAATAGAATTCAGCAAAATAAAAAGATTTCCATATGATCCAGTTATCTCAAAATGGGCCAATTTTATCAAAAAAGTGCCGATCGTAAAATTCGTAAAATGTTCTTGAAATTCTTTAGGCCAAAAAATTTTCAAAAGTCAGTTTTTAAAAGTCCGTTTTTGTTCCGTTTTATTGCGTTTATGACTATTTTCTAACTGTCTGTTGGCTATGTTCTCATTTTGTAAAACTGTTCACAGCTTTCCTCGTTTTAAAAAAAAGTTATTTGTGGACACAAGAATGGTCTTCGACGCAGAATCTTTTTCTCTGATTGTAAACCCTTGTGATTAGCAAGGGTTTTGCAACCGCAGCTAGAATTTTCGAGCCGTTAACAACTTTTTCACAGATGATTTATTATCTTCGACGACGTTCAAAGTGGAGCACGTTTAGTTGAGCGGTAAGTGAAAAAAGTGGTTTATTATTTATTTGGCTAGGTAGAGATGAATAAAAAGAATTTAAGTCATTCGTTGCTTCTTGTACGGCTTTGGCAAAGTTTCTCAAATTGAAATTAGTACCAAATTTTTTTTGGCTTATGTATGGCTTAGTTTTTTCCTTATTTTCTGGAGGTAAGGATTGCGCCAGAGACGGCAAATTTCCTCGGTTCGAATCTGACAATCCAACAGCACGTTTTTTTTTCAAACAGGAAATATTGTTTTTTTTTATGCACGCAGTTTACATTGTAGTTGATTTTATTGTTTTGTTGTACTTCTGCTGTTTGAACTTTTAGTAGCCTTGAATTAATATATTTTGTTTTTCCTTAGTTTTTTAGCTTAAAAATTTTATTCTGCTCAAATGATTTGGGCTGACATATCATCTTAGTGCCCTAATTTTGACTAGCTTCAATAGAAACATTATTTTTATGCTCCCCTCTGGATCGCACTAAATGCTGAAGAAATCTAAGGGTAGAAATTATAGTTCAATTATTGCTTTTATCTTCATTTTTGTATCGCAATACTTGAACAGAAACGGGATAGCCTTGTTTACTTATGTATGTTGGAGGAATCGATTTGAGCTCTACGTAATCAGTTTAAAAAAGATTGCTCAGTTGTCGCTCCTTAAATGATTACCAATGGATTTAAAGGTTGTTTATGAGCATCAGTTGAGACAATCGTTTGATTTTGAGAAGATATGTTTTTTTTACTTTCAAGTACTTTTTTCAACATAATTTTTCAAAACAAAACTTTTGTCTTCATCTTTTCTTTTCTATTAACTATCTTGTAATTAATGTGTTTATTATATCGCAAATCTTGCGAAGCTCCGCATCGCTTCTGTGTTTAAGGTTTGTACAATAAAAATTGTTATGATGTTTGCTCTCATTTTTGGCAAGTTTTCTTTCACAGCGAGCAGGTGCACTAGCCAATTACGTACAACTGTCTCAAAATTTTTCAACGAAGTTTGTTTTAAAATACGCGCTTTTAGTTAGCTGTTCTAAACTCAGTCTTATAACCTGGTAGTTTTTCTAGCTCTTTGGCGGCTATTTTCCTAGTGATCCAGTGTAATGATTAGTCGCACTAGAACGTGTATGGATAATTTTGATAGTTTCAGGTCTGAAAATGGCCTACAAAAAGTCATTGCAACAGGGTCTAGTAGGTATTGAAACTGCCGTGGGAGGTCTGAAACAGGTGTTCACACAGCAGAATGAATTGTTTGACGAATTCGTCAATGACAGCATATCCTTAAACTCAGACTTAATGGAGTTCGTGAAGAAACGAGCAGAACTACAGATGGAATACGGAAAGAACTTGCAACATTTATGCGACAGACAACTTAAGAAATATCAGAACATTTTTGAACGTCAGCGCAGGTCTAATAAATGTAACAGTTCACTGTTTGGCTGCTTTTTCCAGCTGCTAACTAGCTCGCGCTTCGAGGCTGCAGATTTCATAGGCTTGTCGCAAATGACTTCCGATATCAGTCTACCTTTAATAGAACACGCGATAGGAGATCTGAAAGTGAATCACTCGGTGTTCAAGAAGGTTCTGTGTGACACGCAGAATGAATTAACAGGTCAAAGTGGGGACTTGGTGCTGAATATCAAAGACTACAACAGCCAGTTCGCTGCTTTCAAGGATCACCAGAGTAAACTGGACACTGTAACTAGTGACTTGGCCAAAGTCCAGAGGAGTCTAGAGAACAAAGGAAAAGGTGAAATAAAACCTCGAAATTCTTTTAGAAATTCAAAAAATATTTCTCGCTGTCGGACTTTACTTAATAATAATCTTTACTTCGAAAAATCGTTTATTGTTCCGACCATTTGAAAAATGGGAACGAAATTTGTTTTCGGTTGTTTTAGTTTTTTTTTGTTTTCAATGGAAAATCAGTTTCCACGAATAATCATCGAGGAGAGTTGAGTGATATATCATTCCCAATGAAAAATTTCAAGCGTCCAGAAAAACCGGTTCGAATTTTTGGCTTTTCGTCTTAATTCGAGCGAATAAAGCGAGCGAGCAGGCTTACAATAGCTTATTTTTACGGCTTAAAAGCGTACAATAGCTGAATTAAAAATGTAAAAACTTAGTTTTACTCGATTTAGTTTTTTGAGTACGTTAGCGCCTTTTTGGCATCAAAAAACTCAAGAAGTTTTTTGAAAACATTTTTTTTTCGTTTTTTTTTCTGGAAAATTTGTTTTTCAATTTGCTTATTTGACTATGAATTGCGAATATGCCTAATCTCTACTTTTTTTGTTCAGATCCTTTTATCACACCATTCTGAAAAAAAAACGACAATAATTTGAAAAAAAGAACTTCTTTATTGTTTTTTTTTTAAGACTATGGTCGGAACATTCTGTGCTACTTGCACAGTAACCGGCTATCCTTGTATTTTATACGTTTGCTTCTTGACTATCTTAAATTAGTTCTTGAAACGTCTGTAAGCAGCTCTCGCGCGCAAAAAAGGCGTTGAAAAAAGGTTCTTGGTAAAGGTGAATTTATTATGAAAGGCTACTCTTCAACGGAAACATTATTAATATATGTACTGAAGTACGTTTGCGATTAGCAAGTGTTGTCAAATTAGGTCATCGAGTTTTTCCATGTAAACAACTTGTCTAGCAGAGTCGCCGAATTGTTCTTTTCCAAATCGGCAGTTGACAATCAACAGACATATTTGAGCATGTCTTCGTTTATATACCTGTTCTATTCGATTTTTTTGTTCTAAATCTGACAGCGGTTTTTTCGGCTCAGCGGGTGTCTGCTCTAATATTTTTGTCTTTGTTACGCTCGTAAGTTTTTTTAGTTCCTAATTTAACATTCAGTTGTCTTAATTAGCATGATTTTCTCAAAATGAACTTTATTCACAACAAATCAAGGCGAGTTGCTTCCTTTTCAGCTTCTGTCGGCTGGATAAAAGACCTTGCAAAATTAGGTTTGGTCTGTTGTCTCGAAGATAACATTCACTGTTTTCGTCTCAATTTCTAACGGCCTTTTCCCATGTTTCAAATTCTAAATCTACAGTAAATTTTTCATGTTGTACTAACACAAGCATTGGGTTGGTATATTAAATTTTAACTGTTTCCTAGCCTCGCTAAGATTCAATTGAGGCTGGGATATCGGTGTTATTTAATTTTTTTTACCGTGATCATTTTACGCAAAGATATGAGTATTTAAAATGGTCTATTTGACCGATTTCGATTTTTGATGCACTTTATTTAATAGTTATTTAATATTCTAAGTTACTATATTAGTTTACTATTTAATGTACTTAAGTTACTTAATACTCTAGTGGCGCCTAGAGTAGTCAGGCTCAAAAACAATCCGAATTTCCTTGAGGCAAATAATTTGGTTTTATAAGCGTCGTTAGGCGATAAGTTTATTCTGTGTGCGCGTGAGTGTGTTTTTGTGGGTGCAGGTAGGGTACTTCATTAGCTACAGGGTTCAAGTCTATCTTTTTTGCTTTCTTTTCCAAAGTACATCATAGCGTCGTCAATTATTGTGGGATTTTTTTGTCACTTGTTTCCAAATTCGTTTTTTTTTTGTTCCCAAGATATAATTTTTTCTTAGGATGTGTTAGCATTTCTTCCTTTTAGAATCAGGTACCTTAAATATTCATCGAAATGGGTCGAGTGCTAAATCATATTGAATCCTTTTCAGCCGTGATTCGAACGACATTAAATACTTTTCGAAAAGTTGTCCCAGAGTCAATAACACCGGTTTGAAGTTTGAGTTTTAGTCTTATTTCGATCAATTGAAACAAGTGATTAAGAGATATAAAAGATTAATTTTCATTTAAATAGTAGAAAATTAAGTTATACTTCAGAGAACTAAAATCAGAAGCTTGATTTAGCTCTTCCGTAGCAATGCATTTTTGAAAACAAAAAAATTGCTTTTGTATTCAAATCAAATTCATCTGCTAAAAGTTAGGCACATTGAGCCCTCCAATTGCGAAAGCGGCAATGACGCGAAAAAAACGTGATCAGAATTTCAAAGAGCCTTAACGCCATATATTTTCTTCTTTGAAATTTGAAAACAAGTTTTTTTTTTTATAAAATCACATTTTTTTGTTTCTAATAGAAATATTTAATGATAAAAAGCGGTCGTGGATTTGAAATTTTTGATTATATGATAGATTTTTTGAAAGACCGTTTAGTTTTTTACTTGATATATTATACTAATGATGTGATAGCTTAAAGGGCTGTTTGTCGTAAATGTTACCTACTGCGGACGTTTTGAAAAAATGTGGACAACCAGATATGAAAATTGGCAGTCTTTTACTTCTAGAGTCTATTTCTACATAAGTCTATTACTACTGCTCATATGTAAGTTTTTAATTATATGAAGTTGTTCGGGCAAATTACGATTTTCGAGATCTTTCTTTCGTGTTCATTTGTGGAACGTTTTTCAATCAAAATCGCAGTGGTTATTCATTCTTAGTAAATAGCAACCAACGGCGATACTTTTAGATTGTTAGTCATTGCGTGAAAATGCTAAGCAAATCTTCTTTCTAATACTTGTCCTCAGGTCAATTTAGCGCGGGTCTCAAGTTTATTTTGCTAGCCGTTGAACCAATTTGGCGCTTAACTTAACCATTCAACGCAATCTGCGCCGTCTGACTCGTTTCCAAACCTACCCCTAAGGGCTGCTCTAGATCGGGTTCTCTCAGTTTTGTTTAGCTGTTTACAAACAGATCGCGAGTTGTACTCTTCCAAAAAAGACAAGACCAACTCGAGCAGTTTTTAACTCGCTCATGTTCACTTCTTTCTTGCTGCAAATAAAAGAGCTAAAAATAAATGAAATTGGAGGGTAATTGCAACCCGATGGGTCAATGGAACGGTTCGAACATGTTTTCTTGTTGATTTGAGCTCGATAATTGAGGGATTAGTGCACTTTGAAACAGCAGTATAAACAGGTCAAACTAAATAGGTAGCTAGCATGGGAATGGATCCATATTCCCACGTGTTTAGCTGAATGGTTCAATGGTAAGCAATTGTTAGACAGGGATAAACAGTTGCTGAAAAACACTTCAGTTAAAAGTAAAGATACATGTTTTAAAGCATGAGAAGTACAGCTCGTTACTTTTGAAGTTGGCTAATACTGGAAAGTTTTTCAAATGCATGTATAGAAAGACAGCTTAATGCTAACTTTAAAGTTTATATTTGATTCTTATTTTCATGCCTCTGTAAAGAATATATAGTACACAGCTACGAAGCAACAAAATTTAAACCATGCTTAAAACTTGGTACAAGTTATTTACTAAATAAGGATAGCCGGATGCTGTGCCAGTAGCGTAGAATGCTCCGACCACAACTATTGAAGAAATAAAATTCGAAAACAATTTTTTTTTTCAAATTTTTTCTTTTTCAGGAAAATAGCAATTGCAGGAAAATTAAATTAAGAATTCATTGACAAATGATTCTCATTGTGTCATTTCTAAGTTTAGCCTGAAACACGGAAAATTTCTGACCAAATTTTTACACTATTTTTTTGATTTTTTTCAGGATTTCCACTCACAGCCAATAGTGCTTTGATATGATACCGAACTTAAAAGTATGCGACTCTCCCTTGAGATAGCCAAAATTGGACGGTTAAAACAGTCGCAAATCCTTTGCTCCTTCTCGTCACTTAAGTCACAAAAGTTAGCGAATCCATTGTTAAATAATCTTTTGTTCCTTCTCGTCACTGTTTCTTCAAAACGGCAAAACACTAGAAGGTATGTTTTGTTTAGAATTGGCTGCCAGCTCTAAATACCGATCATTAGCTAAATCGGAGTCGAAGCGTCGGGAGAACTTCCTGCAGTCGCGACAGAAGCTGAACAAGTCGAGAAACGACTACCTGCTCAGTCTGCAGGCACTCACTCACTACAGATACAAACTGTTCAACGACGACATACCCGCTCTGTTCGAGAATCTAACATGCGAATTCTATGTCCTGATGAAGGTGGCTCTGCGCAACCTCTGTCAAGCACAAGTGAAACGCATATCAAACTCAGAAGTTTGTAACGAGAAGCTAGAAGAGAAAGTGATGCAAGTGGATTTTGGCAAGGAGTGGTCTTCCATTTATGATTCTAACTCGGATTGTCTGGACATCCCGGATTCGAAGCTGGAGTTCCTGCCGGCCTACACAAAAGAGTGTCTGGACAGCATAAACAGTCTGCAGCTGGATTCAGATGTGAAAGAGAGATACCCAATCATTATGCAGAACTTCGACGCTAACCTGATGAAGAGCAGAGAGACGCAGGACCAAATCGAAGCTGCGAAAAGATCAATTGTTAATATCGGACAGAACATGCACGTAGAGCTGTCTGATTACCTGCTTGATTTGCAGAATACGCGTGGATCAACAGGGACACTTCAGAACTCACAATGTGATGAGGATGCAGTCGCAGAGAATGGGGGTACGGCTTCGCAGAACGGCTGCACCAAAGTAGCTGTAATTTCTTCAGAGCATTCAATGAGACAATCTTTGGTCAACGTTAGAGGGCAATACAACACAGTAGTTTCAAAATTCAGAGAATTGTTCGGTTATTCAAACAAAGCTGCCAGATTAAAAGCGCGCAAAGATTTGATCGAGTCGACATTCGGAGGTGCACTTGAGACCACGCAGACTACGTATAAAATGGTGTCCGTTAAACGACAGGAAAGCGTGAAAATCACAAAATATGTTCCGAGGCCAGTTGCGGCTGTGAACGTGAAACTTTTCGGAGGAGATATAGAACAGTATTGTAAAGCTATTCAAAAGGATATCCCACCTGTTGTTTTGAGTTGCATTGAGTTTATAAGGGAACACGGAATGTTCACTCAAGGAATATTTCGAGTGAATGGTGCTAAGTCGACAGTGCGCTATCTCAAAGACTATTTCGAAGGAGGTGACGACCCACTATTGTCGCCCAGTGCTGACTCGAACGCAGAAGAGTACGAAGCGGCTGCCGTTTCTGAGCTACTCAAGTTATATTTCAGACAGCTGCAAGTGCCTGCACTGCCTACTGAAGTATTGAAAGAGTTCATCAAATCACAAACACCACAGAGTAACATTTCAAATGACGGCTCCTTTTTGGACAGCACAGGGCAAAGTATTGACATGAGTGAAGATTCGTTATCAGAAGGTGCAACAGATAATTCAATAGGCACTGACTCGATCAAAATGCTGAAAAATGTCCTATCTAATCTGCCTTATTCGACCATGGTTACTTTACGGTACCTGTTCGCATTTCTCAATAGCCTGACTCGGTTCAGTGACGAGAATATGATGGACTCGTATAACCTGTCCATAGTTTGGGGTCCTACCCTGGTCCGACCTGATGAAGAAGAACTGGTGGCCATGCAGACTCCAATCACACAACTGGTACAGTTCCTGATTGTCAATCACTTCCAGGTGTTCCCGCAGGACTCGGGATCTCTATTTTCGGATACAGCCAGTCGGATCAGACCACGAACTCTTAGCATAGCCGAGATGGGAAGCACTTGTTCTTTGACAGACTCGATAGAGACAACGAGCCCTTACAGTCAAAATGACAACAATAACAGTATCAGTTACGGCATAAGCATGTCATTTTCACCGACTAGTTCACAAAGTAGTAAGCTGCCCACTCCCAACTACCCCAAAAACGCCCTAACCCCCTCATCGGACTCGGGAGAATCTCTAGGCTCTTCGGACAGTCCGGCACTGAATCCGAAGAGTGCTCGACACATCAGGCAGTCGTCAAGTGTAGTAGTTAACTCGGCAGCACTCATCTCGCAGCCAGGAGAAGTGGTGAAAGAGGCCTCGGTGCTGATGAACAGAATGATACCCTAGTAGAATTAGTCTTTGCATGTCTTTCAGATGATATTCTCATATGCCACAATTTCACTTCTCTCTCGTCGTTTTGTTCAGCTGGCTTAATTTTACTATTTCAACTCAGCAACATCGAAGAACTCAAACTGAATAGCTTTTAATTATTAATATTGTTAATATTGTTTTTACAAAATAGAATTTATTGGAGGATTTCAAATGAAATTATTTGTCTATTTTTGGTTAGTCTCATTGTTTGGGTTATATTACCGTAAATTTTCACTGCTGATATAGATAAATTAGTGTAAAATTAATTTTTCCCAGTTTTTTTTTCAATTTTTCCTTAAGCTCATTTTATGGAAAGAGATTATTCGCAAGGCGTTGGCTCTAGCGAATATGAGCACACAAAAGGACTTTTTCGAAAATTTGATTGATTTTAAGGTTCGAAATAGTTAGTTAGTTTATACGTCTTCCTCCGGAAAATTTACCAAAACTTTGTCGATTTTTTGAAGTTCATTGAGAATCTCCAACTTAATTCTTAGAAGTCTAAGTCGATTCTTAAAAGCAAATCATATGCAAAAATATCAGTGAGCGTAGTGAAGAAATTTGATTAGGTGGCGTTGATTTTTTTCTTTTTCAGGCAAGTCTTTACCTTTGCGAAAAACCAGGGTGTTTCAAACAGGTGCTAGGCTTGTTCGACGTAAATAACTTTGCTCATTAAGTTTGCGATAAGCAAGCGCTATCAAACTGGAATATAGACTTTTTTCGGTTTAACAACTAGTTAAACAAAATCAGTGGAACAATTTCTTTTCACATCTCTTCTTACCTTCTCTTAACTAATTGCAGGTTGCTTTCCCCTTGGCCTGGAGGTAAAGCAGTTGCCTCTATATCCTAAGGTCTGGGGTTCGAGTCGTGGCCGGATCTTGTTTTTTTCAGTATCAAGGTAAGTGAGAAAAAATTTCCGAGAAAAATGAATAGTTTTTTTTCGTTTAATTATTCAGGTTTTGTCGGCTAAATTGCCACAACGGATTTTGCTTGTGCTGTAGGCAATTTTCCATGTAGTTGCAAGTGCAAAGGTTGTTCATTTTAATTTCAAGGGGGACTTGAAAGATAAAAAAATTTATAAAACCTTTCATTTCGTTTTTTTTTTTGCTGAAGTTTTTGATAGTTTAGTTCAAAGTTTCTTGAAACATTTATTGTTATGAAATGTCCACTTATGTTGAAGTCGGTTATTTTTCTTGTAAATTGTTTATAGTCCCCGTGTTTCTGAACTTTGAGACTGTCCAAGACAACTTAGTGATATTAGTTTCTGTCTTTTATTGGTTAAATTTTTTAAATTAATGTTTTATAATTTCTCCAGCTGAAATTAATTGCGTATTTCAGTTTATTTTTTAGTGAAATGTTTCATGATTGCACTATATTTTTTATATCATTGGTTTTTAAGAGTAATGAACGTAGTGAAGACTCTTATTTTGGTCATGGTCATTTTTTTGTCTTTTTTTTCAGGAAAAAGTCTCAAAATGCGCTAATAACTACAGATGTGCTTTCATACATAATAATGCATTTATTAATGCACGTAGGTATATATTCTATTTTTGAGTTCAATTGAAATTCATCTGGTGAAAGTGACATAAATAACACTCTCCAAATACGAAAGTGGAAGTGGCGCGAAAAAACGTGAACGATTTGATTTCTAGTTTCGAAAGTGGAATTTATTTTCCCAGCGGAATAAAAACATTACATATTGATCCAGTTTTCTCAACTTGGAATCATATTATCAAAAAAGCGCCAATCATAAATTGTTCTAGAAATTCAAAAAGCTTAATGGGCATCTGTTTTTTCAAGAAAGTGTTTTTTTTATTGTTTACTAGCGCTCATTACTCTTTTCCAATCTTCGATTGGCTCTGTTTGTTCAATTCTGCTTTCCTGTAAATTGCTGTTTTTCTGATTGCTTTTTCTATTTTGGAAAATGACAATTGGCTATAGTTTTCCGCTTGTTAAATGGTCAAAATAATTTGATTTTCTTGTCCAGTGTCTTCCTTGCTTTCTTCCTGCTTTGTTGTATTCGACTTTTTTTGGCTTTTTTCTTGTCAATCAGTAATCAATCTGTAATTAGTTTCCAGATTTTGAAAGTTTTTGAGCGTTTTGAAGTTCTTCAGTTTAAGAATCGGTTCCAGCTTTTTAATTGGAATTGATCTAATTTATTTAAGATCAAATTAGCGTCTAAAGATTTAACTGTCATATTTTGATCATTTTCACCAGACGTTTTAACACGAGTTTTTACAAGTTGAGACGTATTATTTTTAAAAGTGTGACCGACTGTAATTTACACACTTTTTTGGTGCAGGTAATTAGGTTCATGAGGTTTTGCCTGAATTTTGTATGTTTTGTCTATATATTAAGTTTTTCGTCAGCAACTGATAGGTCTCAATTTTTTTAATCGCTTTCTAGCCTGTATTTACACCGAAGACTTTAGTCAAGGTGTTATGGTATCGTGTAACGGGTTTTTTTTTTTAATGTTGTCTGTTGTCAAGTGTCGACAAATAACGTCCACAGTTATCAATTATCATGTGGGCTGGACTATATCGCGCTATGTCACGTGATTGCGTATGTTTGTTTCTTTATTTGTTCATCTTTATTTATTTAATTATCTGTTCTTCTATTTATTTAATTATGTTTAGTTTGCTTATATTTATTTATAATTTATGTATGTACATATTTATTTTTGTTTATTTTTATCACGTATTTTGTTTATTTATTTAATTATTCTTTCTTTCATTTAGTTTTGCTTTTATTATTTCTGCGTGTGTATTTATTTAATTTATTTATTTTCATTTATTTATATTATGGGTCTGTTTGTTTGGTTATTTGCTCATATATATTTTTTCATGTCTATTTAATTATTTGTACATTTCACTTTTGCTTTTATTTATTTATTTATTTATTTATTTATGTATTTATTTATGTATTTATTTATTTATTTATGTATTGATTTATTTTTTTATTGCTTATTTATTTATCAGGTGTGTTTTGTTTATTTGTTGATATTTATTTCTATATTTATTTAATTATTCTTTCTTTCATTTAGTTTTGCTTTTATTATTTATGTATGTGTATTTATTTCATTTATTTATTTTCATTTATTCATATTATGGGTCTGTTTGTTTGGTTATTTGTTCATATATATTTTTTCATGTCTATTTAATTATTTGTCCATTTCACTTTTGCTTTTATTTATTTATATATTTATTTATTTATGTATTCATTTATGTATTTATTTATTTATTTGTGTATTGATTTATTTTTTTATTGCTTATTTATTTATCAGGTGTGTTTTGTTTATTTGTTGATATTTATTTCTATATTTATTTAATTATTCTTCCTTTCATTTAGTTTTGCTTTTATTATTTATGTATGTGTATTTATTTAATTCATTTACTTTCATTTATTTATATTATGGGTCTGTTTGTTTGGTTATTTGTTCATGAGATATATATATAGACTAATAGCTTTTTTTCATTTCAGCTCTTTCTTGTAAGTATATGTGTAAGTACGATTTTTAGTTATTCCGGAGACCCATATGAGTCTACATGCCAATTTATACGATTGGCCGATTGAAACGACAGGAGGCGTTTTGCTACACATACAAGTTTTTTGTCAATATTTCAGGCTCTTTGTCAATATAGCAAAATTTTGGTGTATATATGTGTTAGTAAGATTTTTAGTTCTACAACGTTTATTCAGGCTCTTTGTCGATATAGCAAAATATTGGTGTATACATGTGTTAGTACGATTTTAGCTCTAGAATTGTTATTTCAGGCTCTTCGTCAATATAGCAATATTTTAGCGTATACATGTGTTAGTACCATTTTTAGTTCTCGAACTGTTATTTTATGATCTATGTCAATATATCAAAATTTTAGTGTATACATGTGTTATTACGATTTTTAGTTCTCGAACTGTTATTTCATGATCTTTGTCAATATATCAAAATTTTATTGTATACATGTGTTAGTACCATTTTTAGTTCTCGAACTGTTATTCCATGATCTTTGTCAATATAGCAAAATTTTGGTGTATACATGTGTTAGTACGATTTTTAGCTCTAGAACTGTTATTCCATGATCTTTGTCAATATAGCAAAAATTTGACGTATACATGTGTTAGTACGATTTTTAGCTCTCGAACTGTTATTTCATGATCTTTGCCAATATAGCAAAATTTTGGTGTATACATGTGTTCGTACGGTTTTTAGCTCACGAACTGTTATTTCAGGCCCTTTGTCAATATAGTAAAATTTTGGTGTATACATGTGTTAGTACGATTTTTAGTTCTAGAAGTGTTATTTTATTATCTTCGTTGATATATCAAAAATTTAACCTATACATGTGTTAGTACGATTTTTAGTTCTAGAACTGTTATTTCAGGCTCTTTCTCGATATAGCAAAATTTTGGTGTATACATGTATTAGTACGATTTTTTGTTCTAGAACTGTTATTCTTCTATTATTAGTTGTTCAAGTTGTTTGGTTTTTGCTTCAGTTTCTATGCCTTCGGTGTATTGCGCGTAGCGCCTATGTTGCTTAAACATGTGGAGGTTTTATTTATGTGACTGGGTTTAAGTAAGCTTGAGTGCTATCAATTCTGTTAATAATAAATCACGAAGTTTTGGATTGTGTTCACAAGCGGATTTAGAGGGAGGGGGATGTTATATTTCGAGATATCCATTTTTGGCTGACTGATCCTAAAATTTTTCTGAAGGCGCCTTTGGCGCCACAATGTACTAATTTTGAGGGGGAAGGGGGGGGGGGGCTGGAAGCGCGCGCCGAAAAAGCGCGATTTTTTGGTCAACATTTTCCAAAAAAAATGGTCAACATTTAAAAATTTGCTTGCGGCGAAGAAAATGTGGTCAAAATGGGGTCTTGATAGTAATTTGGTCGACCTAAAAAGAAAAGGTCAACAAAATTTTCATTTATTTTTGAAAATCCGCCCCCTCGAGAAAATACTAGATCCGCACCTGGTATTGTTATCATTTTGAAATGCCCGCTTGATTTGATTTCGGCAGTTTTTCTTGTAATCTTATAATAGTTCTGTGTTTTTGCATTATGAATATTTTGTATAAAGAATCGGTTTTTATTTTTGTTTTCATTTCAAATGATTATCTCTGCGCTAATTTTTTGTTTTTCCTGTAGAATGGATTGATACTGTTCGGTATTTAAAATATTTGCCTTACTTGAAAAATAAATCTGAAATTAGTAGTTTTTTTTGGATTTTTTTATCATTTCGTTTCTTTGCCACAAATGGTTTCATCGCTTGTCTTTCGAGCAATTTAATGCAATGCAGCCAAATTGCAATTAGATTGAAATAGGTGCATGTATGATCAGGGGCGGATTTAGGGGGAAGCGGACGCCCCCCCCCCCCCTCCCTCAGGGATTCGACCCCCTGCCGACCCAAAGGGTCCCTCCCCCCTTTGATACTTTTTCAGAAATCCATTTTTGGCCGACCGACCCTAAAATTTTTCTAAAGGCGCCTTTGGCGCCAATTTATACTAACTTTGAGGGGGAGCGCGCGTCAAAAAAAACGCGATTTTTTTTGTCAAAATTATTCAAAAAGTGCCCAAAAACGGCTTTTTTGACTGTTTTTTCAAAAATTTGCCTGCGGGGCAAAACAGTGCTTTGGGAGAGCTCGAAAAATCAATTTGGTCGACTTAAAAAGGTCAAAATTTTCGAAGTTTTTTTGAAAATCCGCCCCCTTCGAGAAAATCCTAGATCCGCCCCTGTGTATGATTTAAAAAATATTTATTCTTAGCGGATGATTAAAATTTTCAAAGTTTCACTTTTTCTTGTCGCTCAATTTTCTGCAACGATTGTTTGAAATAATCCAAACAACTAAAATTGAGCACGAAAAATTAGAGTGTTAAGCCTGGAAAATCAGCGTGTCTACTAACTATATGCGTCTTTGCGAAATAAAATCATATACAGCCTAGTCTTGCAGCTGCTGTTTGGCTAATCAACTATCGTTGCAAGAACACAGGAAACATGTTGGATCTAAAAGCAGTTTTATTTGTGATTCAATCCATAATTGAACTCTCGAGAACTTTTAGCATCTTTACAAAAGCCAGGTTAATTTTGGTGATTATATCAGAATTAACGGCTTGCGATTAAATCAGTGATCGTGTCTTGGCCCAACTTTGGATAGCTACACATTTTTGAAAGTAAGTTGTCTATAAGAACGCAATTTCTATTTGAGCCCAATTTAAACTTTAATTGCCACAATGAAGTTACGTAACTGGCTCATTTTACCTTTTGCATACTATCAAACTTATATTTAATTGCTCGAATAAAAAATTTGGTTTATGTTTTTCCATTCATTTAATTAGGACAGTAGCTTGCACCGGGGACCGCCGCTCTCTTAATTCTGGTTGACGGTTTCTTACAAATGGTCTTCCATGTCCATCTCCCATTTTGAACAATTTTTAAATGACATTTTGGAGAGCAGCCGTGGTCGAATGGGTAAGGCAAGCGCCTCTCATCACGGGTTGTGTGTTTGAATCCCACTTCGGTCACATTTGGAGTGGTCTCAGTGTCAAGGCCACCTCAAGGTGGGGCCGGCCCTCCCCCACGGTTGGTCCTGCATTGAGTATAGTCGGAGGCAAACAAAAAAAAGAATTTTCGACAAAAACTACCCAGACATTGTTTCCAAAAGCGGTTGCACTCCAATATTTACTAATTTTGAGGGGGGCTACAAAAATTCATTTTTTTTCGTCAAAATTTTTCAAAAATGCTCAAAAACGGCATTTCCCTTGAAAAAATTTATAACCAAAAGAATAGATTTGGTGCAGATTTCAGCAAATATAGTCTTTCTGGTGTTTCGGCACAGTTCAAAAAATTGAAATAACGGAACCTGACAAAGTCGCCAGTTCATAATTAATTATTACCTCCCTCGCGCCCTCAAAAAACTCCTGATCACGATACACAATAGAGATGCGTCAAAACTCAGATTTGTTTTTTTTTTGCTGTACAATTTTCGGCCATTGTACTCAAGGCTAGATTAGATTGAACCTGGTGCGTAATGGAATCGTTCTCTACTTAAGCTAGGAGATGAGATTGCAGGTTATTTATGATGGCTGCTTGCATCTCTTATTGACACCCGGAGATTTTATATCCAAACAAAAGTTAGAATGAGTCAGAGCTCAATCATTTTGACTGACAGCAAAGCCGGTTCGGATAAAACCGGCGCTTCGTTAATTCAAGTTGACTCAGACCACGACTTCTCGCCTGAAGGAAGCCGAAACAGCGAGAAAGTGTCGCTGTACAGTGACTTGCATTCCTCAGTTATCGAGAAGCGGAAGAGAAAATTGTCCGAAGATGTTATGGAGACAGACGACTTGTCTGTGACTGAGGAAAGCGAGTTTGTAATGTCAAATAGCAATTCGGCCAGCGAAGGTTTCTCAGTTAATGATGTCGCTGTGTTCTCTACTAGACACCTAGAAAATAAAATAACATTTATTAATAGCGACGACTCAGAGGTAGGAGAAAATGTTTTAGTTAGTAGACATAAAAGAAGTTTACCCAAAAGACGTTGCAGGGATAGAATTGAAGAAACAGATAGCGAAAATATACATACTTCGAGAACAGGTAAGAAGCTACTTACTGATGAGGTGCAAAAGAAGAAACGCAGTTTGTTCAGTACACCGTTGGCTAAAAAGGGACACCAAATGAAATCGGACCGGAAGGAGAAACACCAGGCTAACAAAGTAAAAGAGACTGAGCCGAAACCAGCGTCGAAAGAAAAGATGAAATCTTCAAAAGATTTGGCGGAAGTGGAAAAAAGCGGTCATTTGGAGAATAAACATGAGAGGATGGGAGAGAGGCAGGGCATGCGTGCAATTTTGCCTGTGAGTGCATTAGAACACGACACTAAAGTTGCCAATAGGCTAGAGGAAGAGCGGCTCGTTCGGCTGAGTAAAAGGAGCAAAGACGGAATGACTGATTTCTACACTGAAGAATCGGGAAATATCGTGGTTTATACTCGGTTTTGCTTAGAAAAAGACGCAGATGGGAATGACCGCGTGAACATGGATGAAAATGTTGTGAAGAAATTAAAAGTTCACCAAGTAGAAGGAGTTCAGTTTTTGTGGGATAACACTATTGAAACTGTAGAGCATGCTAAGAATAATCCGGGAAGTGGGGCTATCTTAGCTCAATGTATGGGTCTGGGCAAAACCCTGCAAGTTGTCTCATTTGTCCATACTGTTCTCAAAGCCGAATGTCTGCCTTTTCGTACTGTCTTGGTAATTGTACCTACAAACACTATTCTTAACTGGGTGAATGAGTTCGAAGTTTGGATACCTGAAAGTGAGAGGCTCAATGTTGTGGAAATTAGTCAGGAGAAAGATGAAAAACAAAGATCCAAAACTATGAGCAAATGGTACCAAACTGGAGGCGTCCTGATTATTGGGTATCAAATGTTTAGATCTTGTGTGGGTAATAAACGAATGATAGAACGGAAATTGAAGACGAGATTCAAATGTACTCTTTTAAATCCGGGTCCTGATATCGTTGTGTGCGACGAAGGGCATTTGCTGAAGAATGACGCAACTGCTCTTTCAAAAGCAGTGGCAAAAGTAAGAACTCTGCGGAGAATTGTACTGACGGGGACTCCTTTGCAGAATAATCTACTGGAGTACCACTGCATGGTCAACTTCGTAAAGCCTAACTTGCTAGGTACTAAAACCGAGTTCAAAAATCAGTTTGTAGTCCCGATTGAAAATGGACAGCGAAAAGACGCCAGCGAGATCGACGTTCGTGTTATGAAACACAGATCGCACGTTTTGCACGAATTGCTTTCTGGGTGTGTTCAGAGGCGAGACTATTCGTTCATAAGGAAATTTTTGCCCCCGAAGTACGAGTATGTACTGTCAGTTCGCTTGACGGAAAAACAGGTCATGTTGTACCGGAGGTATCTAGAAGTGTTCTGCAGAACAGATGATTCTAAAAAGAAGAAAGATAAAAATGTAAGATTATTAGTTGAAGTATTGTAGACTAGCTCATCCCATTTAGTTGGTTTACTTTTTTTTAAGAATTGGTAGCTGTAGCTTGTTCATAAGAGATGCATTATCATCATCATAATCATCAGTTGTTTATCGCCATCCTCCCGTATTCGACGGTGTGGGTGGTTTTCTGTTTTCTTTTTTGTAATTTTCATATTTCCACTATTCAGATTAGCAGGACCGCACGGCCATTTGTTTCTCGAAAATTTGTTTTAAGATGATGTTCAATTTTTTAAATAGATGAATTATTTTTTCGATTTTTTAAGGTCTAATTGTGAAGAAAAAAACACTTAATTTAAGCGAACAACGAAGTAAACCACAAAAATCTTGGAATAGCTCAGCAGATCGAAAACCCGATTTCAATACTCCGGATGTTTCAATTTTTGCAGGTTTAACGAAAGAAGTTTTGCACGTTTAAGCTATATTGGATTTTGTAATGCTTAAATTTTTTCGATTTTCCATTTCATGAATGATAGGCCAATTGTAAGGCTGTATCTATGATGCCAGCATGGTCGGAGAGGAGGGCAGTTTAGTGTGTATGTGATTGGGATTTCTCCATTTATATTTTTTTCATTAAACGAGCGTTTAATTTTGCACGTTTAAGCCAATAAATTACAAGGCTTAAAGTATTTACTCAAGTCCTACTTGTGCAAAGCTGGAAAAGGACAGTGCTTTCTCTCAAATGTTACTTTTTTTGCATTCTGGTATCCAAACGATAGCTCATAAAATAAGAGATCTTTATATTTATTATGAAGACCTGACCTGACTTTTCTAGTAAAATCAAAGAGGGAATTTTAAAAATTTGTTTTGATTAAATGGAAAAGAATACATATATCTGCCTCTCCCTACACTACCTCATTGATGCTCTTTGGATTCGAATTTCATTGATGTAATACCCAGAATTTTAGAATGACGGACTCCACGTGAGCTTAGATTATAATCTCGAGGAAGTAGTGCATCTATTAAGCCTGAAATTAAATGAATTATAAGATTACCACTGTAATGAAACGTAAAAACATTCTCCTAATTGAGCCCACAGTAAAGGAATTTCCCTAAAGTCTACTTGTATTATTTTTTAGATTTTAGGTTTCCAACCCTGGCTGAAATTAGCCAAAAAGTCATAAAGTTTTATCAAAACTCAGTTAGAACGTTTTGATTACATCGATGTTTGTCAATTTTGTTTAAATCCTATCAGCAATGTTGATTATTCAAGGGCAGCAAAGCGCGTCATCCTCATGGATTCGTTGGCTATCCTCTTTGGTATAATATGTATAAGAATTGTTCAAACATATCATGTTAATCTATGCCAGCAAAATAATTTTTTTTGAAAACATGAAAAAGCAGTTTTCTACTGTCGGATTTTTAGGGTCTTCCTTGATTTTAAAATCTGGATCTGCTGAAACTCAGTGGTTTTGGTCAAAAGTAGCCTGAAGTTTGATTTTATCAATTGTTGTGTCAATGAAATAGGCAGCCCCGACGGATGGGCCCAGTTTATTTTTACGGTTGCATTAGATATATCTATTTTGATATAAGTTTCAAGAAGCTGCTTCTACGTCCCACGATCTGTTTGAAGCACCGTAGGTGCGCGTCATGCGCTAGTTAATTTTTAAAACAGTCAATCTTTTTTGTTTCTTCAAAAAGCACAGAATAAAGTGGTTGTTGAGCGAAGAGTGGTTGTTGAAAAAATTGGGAGAGCTGTCAAGTTGTCGACGGGCCTAGATGCAGGCCATCTGATGATACGTGCTCTCTATATCTAAGTTTAATTGATTTTTATTTTGGTGATCTAAAACTCATTCAACCTCCGTATTCATCGAGAGTGATTTTTCTGCCAATCAACGTAAATGCAACTTTGCAGCTATGATTTGGCTGAATGCAAATCAGGTATTCAATCTCTTTGACGACTTTTTTGTGTTACAAAATGTGTTGCCAAGCTATTGCTTCAATTTTCTTAATAACAAAGTCAAAAAATTGTTTGAAGTCAGTTTCACAAAAATCTGTAGCCATAGTATACCCGGGACACGAAATGGTTACCGTTTCTTTAAATTCATTCGTGAGTGAAGACCCAAAAACAGCAATTTTTTCAATTCCTTTTTTGCTCGGTTCAAAAATGACATGCCTTCGGGGACGATTTTTATCATACAATTTCCTTCCCCTCATTTTAAGAGCAAGCAAAGTTTGTTCATTACTTAACGTCAGAATGGGGGAGCGGTGGTGAAGTGGTTACGTCTCCGCCTCTCAATCGAAAGGTCGGATGTTCGAGGCCCACCATGATCCGTGCTCGTTGCTTGAGGGTGAAGCAACATTACCCAGCCCAGAAAAATAACCAAAAAAATAGCATGTAGTTCTTAAAAACAAGGGCACAACAGCGGTTCGCCGTGTTGAGCTGTACAGCTCTTGTGTTGCTCCTTTCCCCCGTGGATAAATGGTCTTAAAGAATGACTGAAATTGAAATTTTTTGTGAGCAGCAGTAATAACTTTGTCTGAAAGTTTTTCTGTCTTTAGATCTTGTGAATATTTCGATAATTTGTTTCACAACGAGATTCCGGTCTAGCAAAACATTCTTCTTTCAAACTGTAATTCTTACCAATTGTAGAAAAAACATTTCCGTGCTCCCGATCTGGGACTACGAACAAAATTGAGGTACGCACAGGAATACACTCAGGCTCGTAAATTATTCAATGAAAATTTCATTCTATTGTGTTTGACTGGTAGCTAATGTAACTCATGCGACAATGGAGAGATTCAGTTCTATTTTTAAATCAGGAACACAAACCTGCTGTCGCAATTTTTTCAGTAGTACTTTGGCACAGACTGATACAAGCTGTTACAATAGCGAAGTTTTGAAAACACTAGAATCCTTGTAAGCTTAATCCGATTTTTGAATTCATTAGTTATTAGCAATTTTGGTGGACTTTTTTTGGTTTGATTTTAATTAAAAATGAAAAAAGCACTGTTTATTTTAGACTCAGAAAGCACTGTTTCTTACTATTTAAAAATGAAAACGGCACTTCCTTCACTGAAAATGAAAGTCACTGTTCATTTTAGAGTCAGAAGTTTGGGAATAATGTTTTTGACCGGATTCTTCAAGAATCATTAGTTCAATCTTTCTTGGATTGTTGCTTACGTCTAGCCCATTGTCACCAAACCTTTTTTGTGTTTAATTCCTCCTGAAAGGAAGTCTAGTCAGTTTTCTAGGCAGAACTCTCATAAAGCATCGGGTCATCAGCGCACATTTTAATTCAAAATTATCAGTGGTATAGAGTTTATCATTGAAGTAATGTAAGCTGAGAAAAGGAATGAATTCAGAAGAAAATATTGTAGAATTCCAGTGGCTATTGGCCAAAAAATTGATATTAAATTTAGCTCTTTATTTTCTGCTGTTCAGTTAGAAATGAAAAACTTTTATTGGTTTGTTATCTACTAGCATCGAAATCTTCGGTACTTGTGGAAGAATCTTGTGATTTGAGGTGTCGAAATTGCGCATCAGTCATGTGCAATGACATGAAGGGTCTGGTTGTAACCAATTTGAAAAGAAAACTCGATAACGTGCTAATCATGCCTGTTTCCGTGGAGATACATTTTCTGTAGGCCCATTGCTTTTCATGAATGAGGTTATTCGGTTCCGCGTGTTCCGCCATTTGTTGAAAAAGTAGTCTTTTGTATATCTCGTCAAGTTTATCACAGTATGAAAGATTAGAAAGATGCCGGTCCTTTTTCCAAAAGGTGTCTGTCTTGATTAATTCATCCGATTTCCTGTCAATTGAGCAAGTTTTTAGAAGACCAAAACTCAGTTTATTGTATAAGAATTGTCTACTGTCCGGAGATTTTTTCGGAGTTTTGAGCCATCCGTAACCAATCTTGTCTAAGAAAAAGTAAATAATGGGCGTATGTTCTGTTCGCTTATTCAGGAGGAACTTTCAAAAACCAAGTTATAGCTTCCATAAACACTTGCATCCTTCATAACATAGCTTTCCAATCAAAAGACGCTATTAAAATTTTGCACCAGTATTGACGTTTGATATGGTTTGACGAAAGTCATTTATGAGATCCTTGATTTTTTTATCGATTGAAATGCTATTCCCAACAATAGCACCTTATTTTTGCTCAGATTTTCATTGCACACATTTTTTTGCCATACAATACAAATACAAATTTACAGCAAGATGCTGAAGGGGTTGCCCCCATAAACAAAATAAGCACCTGAGATTGCTAACTAACTACGACAACTTGAGCAACGGCACGCAAATCTCATGTAAAATTGTCCATAGTGTTGTAATTATTCTCGAACTGCTGCCACAGAAACCGGAGAAGCCGCGGCTTTAACCCAACCGGATTGAAGACATCAATGAGTCTATCCGTTCGTGTGAGGAATTCCTTGTACGAGAGTTCCAGATTAACAGTGGGAATAATGGGAAGAATACGATTATTTTTTCCCTCAGACATGCGATAGGAGATAACAGTTGCCGAATCAAAATCATAAACACCGGAAGCAATCTTCACGTAGGTCAAAACGTCTAACATTTGCATATAGGAAGGTATAGGTAAAGAATCCAAATATTTCACACGCTCGGTATAGTCTTCTATCAATGGAGTCATCCAACGGGTTAGGCGTTTCTGCATACTTTCAATTTTACGCATATCATTTTTCGAGAGTTCCAGGCAGCAGATGCATAGCACAAAGTCGAGATCACAATACTTTTATAAAGCTGGAGCTTCGATGTTACAGTTATAAGTCCTGAGACATTCCGCTTGATCATATGATAGAGTTCATTGCACTTGATGAGGCGGGCAGATATATGACTACTCGACATTAGAGAAGAATCAACAATTAAGCCCAGGTCTCTGTGACGTGGCACAACATCAACATGAGAACCGCAGAAAATATAATCAGGTACACCACCCTGAAAATTTTTGAACTTCGTTTTCTTGGTATTAAAAGCCAGACTTGTCAGTGGCCCACAACT